ACCGCAGCAAGACTCTGTGGAGAGTCAACCCACCGATTGCGGGAGCTCTGCTGGAACTCAGGAGGAGTTCTGGAGGCAGGGAACTGAGAGGTAAAGGTGTCACTTTCCTTCTATAAACCCAGTTATAACCCCCTTTTTGTATCTTCTTGCTATGTTGACTGAGTATATTGTCTGTCTCCCTACTTTGACTTTCAGTTTGACTTTCATGACAATTCAAACTTAAGTAAAGGAATGCAGGTGTAATGTCAGTTTCAGTTTTATTGTTTGACTAAAAGCAGATTGTGGGATTGCATCTGGGGGAAGGATGGGAGAAAGGTTGTATTGCTTATGTTTGTCTGGGTCAACCAAAGGCTGGGAGAGTCTCCATAAGATTGGATCATTGGAGGGCCCAGTGCTGTGTCTATTTTCGATTGCTTGAAGGACCAGACAGGTTCCCATAAGATTGGGTGGTCTGGTTGCTTTGACTTGCGAGGGCTATTTGTGCCTGATTTTCAGGGACCAAGCATTTTTCCATAAGATTGGATGACTCGGTTGCCGTGCTTCTTTGTTTTTTTATTATGTTTTATTAGTTCTGAAGGAGAGTTGGGCATGTTCCATAAGATTGGATGACCTTAACTCTCTCTTGTTTTAATTTTGAGGGAGAAATTCAGGCAAAGGACTTGACAGGTTCCCATAAGATTGGGTGGTCTGGTTTGGAGCCTCGCACATGCTAGAACCAAAAGGTTAAATTTGTTTATATCTTATACTATTTACTTATGAACAGGCTAGTCAGACATTTTTCCATAAGATTGGATGGTCTGACTATAGCTTACCACAAACTGAAGAGAGTATGAACTAAAAATAAAATTGTGGTAAGAAGGGACAGGCCGAACCTTGATCTAAGATGACCGGTTCAATCATATGTCACCTTAAAAGATAAAGTGCAGACAATTATATATAACTTGGATACTTAAATGGTTCAGGGCTACTAGGCTGGCTAACCTAGTCATGTGCCCAAAGAAGAGAAAAGTTGTAGTGCCCTGTGTTTGTGTATATTCTATGGCTGAGCTAGACAGGTTTCCATAAGATTGGGTGGTCTAGCTTTATGCCTTGTGTAAGCTGGGTATTAAGGGATAAATCATTGAAAGCTCATGCACTGTTGTTTGATAAGGTTGGCTTTGGGCTGGTGAGAGTATTTACCTTTGTGGTTTGGCTTGCATGTGCTTGAGTGAGATCACTACTTAGTCTGAGTTTCAGTTGATAGGTAGTTGCCTTAGTTGCTCGCCACGTGCTAGAGCCATAGGAGTTAGTTTCAATTCCTGCATTTTCTGAGCTAAGTTTATTTTACTTAGGTCAATTCCTGCATTTTTTGGGATATTTTATTATACTTGGCCTTGTATAAATCTTGGTAAGCCACTTTTTTACAAAACCAAGGAGTCAAATTTTGTTTTTTTTCAAGGTTCAGTTTGTTTGACTTTTTGACTTAGTAAAAATCTGGAAAACCTCCTTTTCCAAAGGGAGTGTTGCCAAAATTTTTGCTACTTCAGGGAGTTAAACAAAAATTGAACTTTGAGAAGTTAAAAGCCACTTTAGATTTTGAACTTAGCTTTGTATAAATCTTGGATTAACACTTTTCTGAAGGGAGTGCTGCTGAAATTTTTACAAATCTAAGGAGTTAGTTAAAATTTGTCTTAGTTGAACTCGGGTCTTGTTTCTGAGTCATATCTGACTTAGTAAAAATCTGGAAAGGCGTAATTTTTAAAGGGAGTGCTGCCCAAATTTTTACTAATTCAGGGAGTTAGAGAAAATTTGACTTTCCAGAGTTAAATATTATTGTTTTCATATATGAGTTAGTATAATTTCTGAGAAGGCACTTTTCATGTGGGAACCGCTGCCGAAGTTTTCTTAGTTTAAAGGAGTTAGACTATATTTTGACAGGTGATAATTCTGGCAATCCACCCTTGATTGGGGAGATACTGCCATAGGTCTACCTTGCGTTGGGTACTGGCTTAGAGGTAGGCCTAGGCTGCTTGTAGGAGGACCTTTGGTGAGAATGTGCTATGGAGCTTTATTCTCGATACACTTATAGATTTAGCCTGGGGATTGACCTGTCTTGTGTTAGAGGCCCTCTTGATCGCTTGATTCAAGATTTGTGCTAGATTCAGTTTGATCCTACGAGGATCATCTTTTGTTATCATTGATAACAGGTCGGTTGCCGATTCGTCGGCCTACGACTCAACTCCAATTCATCCTCAATACCCAACCTAAAAGGCTTTAGCCCTGGTGGTTTCTATTGTTTTATTAAGGTTTTCACCCAGAGTTTTATTGAATGGCCATTTAACAAAGGTACTGAGTATTTAATCATGAAAGGTTGGATAAAGGCTGGGGCTTGCATGGCTAAAGCGAGGGTAAAGAGCTGTCTCTTATACACATCTAGATGTGTATAAGAGACAGGATGTAGGTTGAGCGGCGGCTGCTCCCCCCCCCCCCCCGTGTGTCATATCGACCCACTTGCACACAGCCAAAAGGCAAAGAGGCAAAGAAAAGAGGAAGGGAACAGTCAAATATAACAAAACAAGGGGCAACAAGATCCTAGATGACGAGTCCCACTTGTAAGCACCGCCCCCAACTTCGCAGGCCAAAGGACGGGACAAGACCAACCAGGATATCAAAACACTCAAATACATATATATATACAGCAGATGGCCTTATTCGTCATCAAGATGTTGGTATTCCTTCGTACTCTCCAGCGCCGCGCCGGCATCATATACGCCGGTCTAAACTGAAATAAAAAAGAACCCGGATGACTGGTCCCACATGAAAGCACCGCTAGGCTCCCCAAAATAGACCGAACAATGGGACAAAACCAACCGGTATGCAGAAAGACTGAGACACCACCAACGGCAAAAAAATATAAAGACAATCACAGAGGACGATTCCCACCTAATAGCACTGCCTCCCATCAATAGGCCAAACAATGGGAACCAGCCAACTAGGATGCCAAAAACGAACCCGGATGACAAGTTCCACATGAAAACGGATGACTGGGCCCACATGAAAGCACCGCTACGCTCGCCAAAATAGACTGAACAACAGGACAAAACCAACCAGGATGCAGAAACGCTGAGACACCACCAACGACAAAAAAATATAAAGACAATCCCAGATGACGATTCCCACCTAAAAGCACTGCCTCCCATGGATAGGCCAAACAACGGGAACCAGCCAACTAGGATGCCAAAAACGATCCCGGATGACAAGTCCCACATGAAAACACCGCCACGTGGACCGAACAATGAGGCAAAACCAACCGGGAGGCAGACAAAGGTGCCAAAAATACCAACAATTCTTCCATAACCATACTTGAAAAACCGGAACCATACAGTAGGTCCGTAAAACGCAATACCCCAACAATGGGGAAGAGCAAACCAAAGAAGAAGAAAGATAGGAAGGAGAATTAGAAAAAGTATATTGTCCCAAAACCAAAGAAGAGCCTGCTAGTACGGGCCCGACGCTCGCCGCATCATCTACAAAAGCAGAGAGCTAGCAACGTTATAGTCCATAAAATGATGGAGGGCAAAATGCAACATACCTAACACAGAAGGCTCTGCCAGCAAGAAAGCACCGACCCCACCACCAATGGCCCGAAAAAACTCGGAGAGCCCCACGAGTCCGTCCACGAAACCACGAAATTAAACACACAATCACAACAGCACTGGCACTGCTATTCATCCCAATGGATCCACTCACGTCACCACCATCTCTATCACCCCTATTGCTAGACATGCCCCATTTACTATCTAGCCTCTGGAGTGTATAGAGTACCACAATCCCAAACTGCACAAAATCTTCATGTGACACGAGGAGCGCTACTGCTTAAAACACCCCTAGAAGCTACCCCATCTTCCATGTGCTCCAAAGAGCAGCCCATGGGAATGACACCCACAGTAAACACTCTCTGAGCCTCCTTGTGAAGATACTGTGGTCAGCACTCCAGATTCCAAACATACATTCCCAACCCCAAAAAACATCGTGGCCACGCACAGACATTCTTTCATCTAGAAAACAGCCCATGCTCTACAGCAAGGCAAATAATTAGGCTGTGCATGAGTAAAAAAAAAAAGAAAAAGAAGTGTGTGTGTGTGTGTGTGTGTGTGTGTGTGTGTGTGTGTGTACGTGTCTATTGTCGCCTCCACAAAAAGAATGGCATGACTGTGGCAGACGGGTTGGTTTGAGTTTTACCGAGATTCGTCAGGTGACTGAGCTCTGGGCGTCTGCAGAGTCGCCTACCTGTCTTCACCGGAATACAGTGTACGGTCATTACAGCTGTATTTGGGGCAACTTCGAGTCTAGATACAGTGATAATGACCGTATGTTGTATTCGGGTGAAGAAGGGTAGCAGATGATACTATGATTGATAATGCACCTTAACCCCAGTGGCAAGTGAGTACCAACCACTGCCCCGGCACAACTGATACCCCTCCAAGGTGGGCACCAACCAATGTCCTCTCTCGGGTACCTGTGATGAATTGAAAGCAGACCATCACCCACCCACACCAGATGGAAGACCATTCAGGCCAAAGATCATACGGTATCTAAATTTATCCATTCATCATGCACATGGATGGATATGATGAGATGATTCGTCATGCATATGGATGGATATGATGATGAAATTCATCATGCGTGTGAATGGAACAGTATATCCATTCCTCATGCACATCATGGACGGCCTTGGTAAGATGGTCAATTTTCTCTCTATGTCAATGAAGAATAGGAGAGACTGCTGCGTTTTCTGCACTTATATTGGAATGAATGTGGCCTTGTTTTGTGTGTGTGTAGCTTTTTATTGCACAGCATACAGTGCCCTGTTTCCATCCAATTGCATGGGTGCTTTTTTTTTTTCCTCTGTGTGTGTGCTCTACGTAGTGAATGAAGAGAACATATTTTGGCACATTGGCCATTTGCTCTCATCAGCAAATCTGGACGGCTGCTAACTCTCCACGTGTCACATGTTGCAGATCTCCTTGCTGCACATGCTCCTGGCTGAAGGGCAAGAACATCTTTTTGCACATTGGCCAAGTGCTGGGCATCAAGATGCCGACAAACATCGATTCTTCAAGCAGGTGATTGTAGCTAATTGCTTGAAGAGGAAAGGAGAGAGGAGGGAGCGAGGAGGGAGGGAGAGAGGAGGGAGAGAGAGAGGAGGGAGAGAGAGGGAGGGAGAGAGAGGAGGACAAGAAGCAAACGGCACAAGAGCTGATGCCGCAAATAGTCCCCTGCCCGTGACCCAATGTGTTCAACATTTTCGCGGATGGCGAGTGGTGCAGTTAGGCCCGAAAGTAGCGGACCGCTGGCAGGGTGCACTGTCCGTTACAGTTTTGTTGGGCTTTGTTTTGTTTTTTTAATTTTAATTTTAACTTGTTGTTGGTTTGGGTTTGGTTATGAAGGGGCATGCTCGCTTCCGCTATATATGGTGCGAAAGCGCGTAGTCCTTAGGATAGTTGTGTATGCAATAGGGTTTGAACTACCGGTAGGTTTGCTGAGTGCTTTGCCTTTGCTGTGTCTTCCCTTACATCTTTCAACCTGCTTATTTGTTGTAGCGAGTGAGGTTCGAACTCATGACCTGCATGTTAACAGTTACAAAAGAGTCCTACTATTAGGCCCAGCCATCATATGCGCTTGGTGCTCTTCACCAGTCGACTCAAACCTGAGTAGGGCGCTTAATGGTATACGTGGTAAGAGCTCTTGGGTTCATGCCTGAGCCGGTAGAGAAAGCGGCAGGCCACTTTGAAAAGCCGCAGCTTTGTCAACTTAGGCTCGTGTGAACCGGTGGCTTAAGCGGTTTTCCCTTCGGTTCATCTTCTCTTATCCTTTTTGCAACTGGCTTGTTTATTGCATTGAGTAGGATTCAAACTCGTAATGTGTTTATTAACTGAGTGAGGACGCCGCCTGGCCGGGCTGGGCCCAGCTGGTTGGGCCTGGGTAAACCGGGCAGGACAAAAAACCGCCCAGATTTATTATTATTATTTTTTTTTGAAACCGGGGTCGTTCTGCGCTCGGCGAGAGGACCCCGAATCTGCAATAAAATTTTGGTTTTGGTGGGGGGATGGGGGGGTTGGTCTGGGTGGNCCAGAGTTTTATTGAATGGCCATTTAACAAAGGTACTGAGTATTTAATCATGAAAGGTTGGATAAAGGCTGGGGCTTGCATGGCTAAAGCGAGGGGTATGAGTATAGAGAATGGTTGAAGTTGACTCCGTGTAGTGTATGGACTTTTGGTTGACTCTTTGATGTGATTGCAGGTATGTTTCGTGGTTCGGACTTTGGGTTTGATTGCCTGCGATCACATACATATATATGACTGTGAGGAGTCCCACTGTGATTGTGAGAAGTGATCGTCACATACTTATTCCCTTTTTACATATGTACATGTACATACCTATGATTGGGTATTCGCGTGGCCTAAGAGACCCACGCTTAAAGGTTTAATTGGGGTAGAGATTGAGAAAGGGAGGAACCCCCCCCTTTATTTGTTGTATGCTTCTTAAAAAGATTTCTTAGTCGGGCGTTAGTCCTGGGCTGGATTCAAGATCCTTGTCCAGGATATCCCAGGTCCTAGACTCTGCATAGAAGGGATCACCCCCCGCGCAGAGCCTATTTGGCCTGCCCACCGGGACACTCAACCTAAAGGCCGGAGGTGCCGCGGAGGCCGCACGACTGTTCCTTCAGCCGTGCAATATCGTGAAGGGGTAGACCCTCACGATATTTCGAGAGTGACACTTGAGTGTCATAAGCGGTACTCGAACCCACGAGGGACCGCTTGATTATGGGCACTACATAGTAGGCCATCATCTTGACTGCTTGCATATTCATACATTGCTAGTCGAAATGGGAAGGCCTTGCGTCCACGCGGTTTTATACTAAGTCTCGCGCGCGTCGCCTATCCGATTTCCGCATCAGAGAGTTATGGGATGGCTACTAAGGGACTAGGAGTGTTGTCTTGTTGTTTGTTCTGTGTCGTTCTGTATATGTGCGTGTGCGTGCGTGTTCTAGTTTTTTATGTCTCTAGAGTGGTGTACGTGTGGTGTGTGGGATTCGTCCTAGTCGACCGACGATGAGTCGCGCTTGGGACCTCAGCCCCCCAAGGCGTCGATTCGTGTGCGGGTCCGATAGAGGCGTAAAACCGCGCGTACCCCCTATGCTATAGCGAACGAGAAACGCCCTCGGCTGGTTCACCTGTGCGATTGCAGCTGATTAACTTTCGTACTGTGGACTGGTAGCTCGGCGGGGATACGCCCACCGAAGGGAGGTGACAACTCCCGTAAGGTGGAGGTGAGTCGTGCCTCGCGTAGGCGCTATCCCGTCGTAGGGGCTCGTGAGAGGTATGGCTGGCGCACTCGGTCGGAGCGGTTTGCGGAAGCTCCATGTGTATTTGCGACGAGGATCAGACCAACTCCTCCGTGACGCGGCCGGGAGGGTCCCGCCTCGTTTTGTGCGGTGCCGGACCGATGCGCTTGACATCGTGGGTCCGGTCGGCCTGTTTGGATGATACCTGCTCAGTTGAGCGATGTATATAGAGCCATGGATCCACAAAGTGATGAAAAGGACTTGAGTGGACGATGCAGTGTCAGCAAAGCATCAACAAGCAATATACGTCCAGATAAATATGAAAATAGCACAATGTAGCGCAACGAAAGACTCGCAGATGACCTGACCTGTCAGATACTGACGCGACACCCCATCATACACCACACATGTGAGAGAGAGAGGAGGGACCGCATACATAGAAGAAAGGTCCCTCCTTGATCACGCACATGGGGAGATATCACGTATGAGGAGATGGGGGGAGAGGTGAGACAAAGATGGAGATGAGGGAGAAGACCAAGATCGCGATAGCGAAGTCCAAAAATAGACTCCCTACCGATTGTCCAATCAATGTCTGCCACAAAAATGTCGAATCAGATCCTGCGCTTCCTGCCCAATGTAACCTGTGCCTGTAACCTCTCTCTCTCTCTCTCTGTGAAAGAAGAAGAAGAAGAAGAAGAAGAGGGAAGGAGGAAGGAGGGGAGATGGAGGGCGAGAGCAAGAAGAAGAAGATGTCATCCTCCTCGCTATCTCACCTGCAGGTAACTGACGCCATGTACTAACTGTCACCGCGTGTCTCCTCTGTGCTGCAGGGCGCTGGCGCAAAGACCAGCTATGGCACCCAGGTAAGATCTCCACCGGCGCAGGTATGGCCTCTGCCTCACTCCCATCTACACCGCTACCTCTAGCGTAGCGCTTTCGCGCTGCTCCAGCAGCGTGTCACCCAAGAAGTGAGCTACTCGAACTGTGTGTCTGCCCTGGCCTGGCCCAGCTATATGTAGCGCTGGGCCTCGCTGGTCTGTCCCTGGTCCTGGCCTGAAACGGGGTACTCGGTCTGGGTCCTGACTGGATGTCCAGACCCTCCCTGCTGATGCAGCAGGGGCGTCCGCTACTGGACGAACACGAACCTGACCCACAAGGGCCTGCCTGCGAATGTAGAGGGCCAGAAAACGTGGCTTTGTCCAAACAGACCGAAAGTCTGTTTGGACGAACTGCAAGTCAGAAACGATGCCAGAACAGACAAAAATAGGACAGCAAATAAATAAATAGATAAATAAATAAATAAATAGATAAATAAATAAATAAATAGATAAATAAATAAATAAATAGATAAATAAATAAATAAATAAATGAATGCTGCCTCAAATCGAATCCTGTGGCCCTAAGGCCGGCCGTGGCCCTCCAGGGCGCATGTCCGAAGGGCGTGCGGCCTGGGGGCCAACTGTCGGGCCCCCGAAACAGGGCCCGTGTGCAGGCTCAGCATGTAACATTGGACTTGGGCCGCTTCTGCAAAATCAGGACTTGGGACTTGGCCTATCAGACCTACCCCGACTTTCTACCAGACTGCAACTTTTGGCTCACGCACCTCTATTCGACCTAGGACCTAACTAACGGACCCTGGGACAACCGGGCCCAACTGGGACTCTGGGTCTTCGGGGCTTGGGACCTTAGGACCGAGACATCTGACTGCCGTGAATCCTTTCATTAGCAGAGCGATCAACGTCTGTGAACATCTGCTGCGTCTGGACCGATGGATTGACATTTGTCGGCATCTGTTGGCATCTGTTGGCATCTGTTGTGGCTGGACCGTTCAATCTATGATGGATCAAGGACAGTGAGAATTCAGGATGAGGTGGCAGTGCTGTCTGGCAGAACGTCTTGCTTATGTGTTTCCCCCCCTTGACCCCCCCCCCTCCCCCTTCCTTTATGCTGCGTGCTTGTGAGGGTTGTTGGTCCTCTATCATTACATGTGCCAATAGGTGTGGTGCTCCAGCTTGGCTGCTGTCGTTTGCCGTAAGCTGTCATAGGATAGGCCAGACTGGTGACAGTAGGCAAGCCTGCGGCATGGGTGGTTCAGTCTGTTTGGGGATTATCTGGGTGCTTTTCAAGTTTTTCTTGCGAATGATGAGAGTAAAGTGTGTAGTTTTGGAGTAAGATCATGAGGGGGCAGTGGGGTGTGGGAAGTGGGCGGGCATTGAATATTTGGGATAATCCGTTAAAAAGTAATAAAAACTTAAAATTGGAATGTTTTAGGTAAGATTAGCATGGCCCTTGCGCAAGGATGACACACACACATTGAGGAAAAAAAAAGTTCAAAGGAAAAGGACATTGAGCCGACTGAAATGAAATCGGGTTGGGATTTCTCGTGTTCTGAATTTGCTCCCCCGCCCCCAATTCCTCTGAATTCTATAGTAAACTTTGTAAGGACATACTGACATTAGGGTTTTGTTGACTGAATCTAGGCGTAGTTATGGTCAAATTCATCCAGGAGAGTTCGAGTGTTGTAGCATTATGACTATGGCTCTGTTTGTTTTTTTGGAGGGCATCATCCATGTCTTCTTCTTCTTCTTCGTCTTCCATTCCTATTTCTTGGAAACTGTAATGAACCCAGTCTCGGCGGAAAGCCAATCAGCAATGCAATGGATGTCTGAACCCAGCATGACTCATGAAGTCTCCGAGCATCAATTACAAGTCCAAGTCTCGATCATATGCACAAGTCAGGAGTAGTATTATCCCGTCAAATAAGAGCATGAGAGAAGAGTAAGGGGAGAGAAGAGAGAGAAGTGGAGGGAGAAAGTCTCATTGATAATCAATAGTACAAGTACGTCTCGCTCTCTCTCCCACTCCCACTTCGGGCTTCTCCCCTCTCGCCACGTCAGCGATGAATGTTCCCTCTGACGTCCTTTGTCATAGTCACTGTGCAGATCAATACATGGCGCCCATCCTCCCTCCCTGTCAGCCAACAGATATGGAGGATGGCGCAGCACTTCCTCACTTTCGTGGAGACAGCAGCTGATTACACGTGCCGTCGCCAGGTAAGTCCAGGTAAGCTTACCCACATCTCTCGTCAGTCTCAAAGCCCTGATCCTCCTCCTCCCCGTGAATCCTCATCACTTAGTCTACAACTATGCGGCTATGGCCGCAGCAGCATAATCTCCCTCTAGGCTGGCGCCCACTTCCAGCATCTGATGCCAGCATCCATCTCCAGTAGCCTCGCAATACAGCACTAGCGTCAAGCCAGCGCAAGCCAGAATGCCTTCCCCAGCGTCTGACCATCCTTTTGTAGTGTTGACTGGTGCTGACTGGCGTGGACCGGTCCCCCCTTGGACAGTGTCGATGCTCCAGATTTGCTCAATCCCCTTGGACAGTGTCGACGCTCCAGATCAATCTCGACGGCCTGGATGCAGCCTTGAAACAACGGTACCTTTTCTCAGTCGGAACTGGAATCTTCCGGATACCTGCAGGCAGTCAATGATGTGCATCTGATCCGTGGCCGTGGCTGACCAGGGGGTTGACTTTGACTTTGGGCCTGTCTCTCCTGTGCTTGGTCTGAGTCCTGATTTTCCAAGAGTCAACTACCGCGGGTGGGGCCTCTGGACGCTGTTTTCGGCCCTGCCCTGGGTACTGCTTGACCTTAGGCCTTTGCCCAGTCGTTTCACAGACTTAGAGCGTGACTCTCAACCCCCGTTTCAGGGCTGTGATCAATAGTGACGACCTGTAGCCCGCGACTTTGCAGATTTGGGCTGAGTTATTGCAGAAACATCATTTGTCATTTTGATCCTCTGTGCATTGCTTTTGTGTTTTTTCTCCACACATTTCACCTGAGTGCAGCGCTGAGTCTGCGCAATTCAGGCCATTGTCGCCCCGAGGTCTGTTTTGCCTGCATCTGGTCGTAATTGCAATCGCGTACGCCCAAGGCATCTTATTTTGAGTGTTGGTTTTTGTCTGCACATGTCGCACCAAATGTTTCAGGACATTCTCAAACTGAGATTGTTTTTGCGTGCATCTGGCCGTAATGGAAATCATGTGTATCTGAAGAAAAGAGCCACTTCACTTAATTGAGTGTCGGTTTTTGTCTGCACATCTGACAGCGACGTCTGGCTTTGCTCTGCATGTCATTTTGCTTGAGTGCAGGTTCCAAGCGGTGAGCGACTTCAGTTTGCAACTGAGGAGTTCATCGCATTTGAACGCGAGGGAGTGAAAGCAGCCGGGGATGCAGCATTTGTTCTGGTTGCAGGTGGACTCGGGGAGCGGCTGGGTTACAGCGGCATCAAGGTTGTGAGCAAATCTTGTCACTGCAATGGTCGTGCACATGTATTATGCCGTTGATTGCGTGTGTTTGTGTTGTATGCCTTCGATTGCACATGTGTTTGCAGTGTAAGCCTTAGATTGTCCGAGTGTGCGTGGTAATTGCCTTTGAATGCGCTTGCGCTTGCAGTGTATCCCTTTGATTGCACGTTTTCGCAATGTATACCTTTGATTGCGAGTGTGTTTGCGGTCTACGCCTCTGATTGCACGTGTGATTGTGGTGTCTGGCGAGGCACATGTGATTGTCGTGTCTGGTGAGGAGTATGTTAGAGGAGAGTGGGTCAGACAACTGATCCCAGTGGTGTTGGACCAATCCCAAACTGGAGGAACAGGTCCAGAAGTAGCTAGGGTGTACTCTGTGGCTAAACAGCAGGAGGAGGATGAAGAGAATATTGCAATAAATGCAATTTAGTCCACTAGCAGTTTAGTCCACTAGAATGGAAGGAGGAGGATGAAGAGAATGTTGGCCTGCTGACAGCCTGACATGAAAAGGACTCAATGCAATTTCGTCCACTAGCAATTTTGTCCACTAGCAATTTAGTCCACTAGAATGGAAGGAGGAGGATGAAGAGAATGTTGGCCCGCTGACAGCCTGACATGAAAAGGACTGACACTTTTAGAGCTGATAAAGGACTGCTGACACTTCGAGCTGAAAAAAACTGCTGACACCCTAAAACGAACTGCTGAGACTCTGAGCTGAAAAGGAAGGACTGCTGGCATTCTGAGGTGAAATAAAGGGACTGCTGACACAGTGCACTCATCATGCATCACATGCTTGAGGAACTCTCTAGGCTCCCTACTCCCTCTCTCTCTCTGTGTCTCCCACTCTCTCTCCCTCTCTCTCTTCCTCTGCTGACACATACACACACAGCTATTTTCTTTTTTTGTGGTTGGATATGTCTTGTTGGTTTTGTTGATTATACACGGCCTAATTCTTTGCCCTGTTTTAGAGTATGGGCTGTTTGGATGTTTACAGGTGGCCATAAGTTCTCTTTGTGTGTGTGGGGGGGATGTATGTTTTGTGGGCCGGCGTGGAAGGCTTTCACAGTTTTTTTGGACCCTTAGGGGTGGGGGGGGGTCAGTGCTTTCTTGCTGGAGTCTTCTGTCTTAGGTAAGTTGTCTCTTATCTTCTTCCTCTTCTTTGGCAGTGACGCGAGTGTGTAGTTTGAGATGAATGCCGGGAATGCCAATGCTGTTATGTTTGTAGTGACGCGAGTGTGTGGTTTGAGATGAATGCCGGGAATGCCAATGCTGTTATATTTCAATAATATTTGTTTGTTTTTGGTAAATGAGTTTTTGGTTTTCTGGGCTGATGCGGAAGGCTCTCCAAGTTTTTTCGGACCTTTGAGGGGGTCGGGTCGGTGCCTTCTTGCTGGTGCAGTCTTCCGTCTTAGGTAAGTTGCCTTCTGCCCTCCCTCCGCTTATGGTTTGAAATATATATGTATACATGTACATGTGCAAGTGTGCCGCTTTGGTGGCAGACGGGTGTGTGGGCACTTGGCGCTGAACCACACAAACGTGGCCAACCTTGCATTTTTTATTATATTGCCTATCTATGCTTTTTCGTTATGGATGGCTTGTGATGATTTGTGAAGGGAATGAGAGAGAGAATATGGGGTCTTTTAAAACAACACACACACACACACACACACACACACACACACACACACACACACACACACACACATGCACAAACTCCAGTGAATTCGAATCCGACAGTTGAAGCTCCAACTTGGCAAGTCCAGTAGCCAGTTTCTTCCAGCATAGCAAGTGCCAAAGATGAGGCATGCTCACAGTCCTGTCCCGGGAGAAGCACCTCCCATGTATGGCGTAGTGGCTGGCGATAGAAAACTTCCTCTTATTTCCACCGCTCCTGCCCCCTCTCTCTCTGTCTCTGTCTCTGTTCTTTGGTCGGTCCGTCTCCTCCTTGTGTGAGTCTTATTTTTTCCTCCCTTGTTCCATTGTGGTGGAACGAGGCTCTGGTTCTGCAGGTGGCCCGATCAATGAAGGATTCTGGAACATGGCACTGGCCACCAGCGCGAGGATTCTGGGCCATTTGATCAGCCTCTGTAATCGGGGGTGGCAGATCTCAGCCTCCAGTTGATCTAGCTAGCTCTTAGACCAATGTGCACGCACGTCTAGAGGGTCTGTACCTTTGTCGATCATTTACGTATCCAAGGGTCAGGCTGTGAATGCAAAATCTCTTAACAGATTCGACACATCGCCAACAGGCTGTCAATGCAAAATCTCTTAGCAGTTTAGACTCAGCTGAGTCAGCTCCAATTTAACGCAGGTTTGGTTGTTGCCGGCCTCTCGTCAATCATTTGTGAGGCCGAGGGTCAGGCTGCCAATGCAAAATCAGATTAATAGCCAAACGGTCAGTTCTGGATGTTTGTTTATCCAGTAGTGCTTCTCCTCAGGTATACTCAGATCTATGTTCCTGAGAGAGCCTGTCCTACCAAGGTGGTATACATATGTATCTTAGAGAGGTATGTGAGGAAGGAAATAGGTAAGGAAAGTACTCAGTGCCAGCCTTCAGGTCCTTGGACATACAAGGGCTAAAAATATGGGCATTTACACCTCCTTGGCTGTGCGGGAATTGAGGGCCATATGAGGTGGCCATATTAGGGTTGTAGTAGGATCATCCATTGTAGGGCCATGGAATGGCCATAGTGACATATTGGGGCCACATATATGGGCCTCGACATCTTATTGGCCGTGGATCAACTGAGGGTCATATGAGGGCCATAATAGTGCCATTGTAGGGCCATCCATAATAGGGCCGTAATAGGGCTAAAGCAGGGCGAGAGTAGGGCTCCATAGTAGGGCATACTAGACCCAAAGATATGGGGCTCCACACCTGATTGGCGATGGATGATTGGAGGACCACATCAGGGCCATACTAGGGCCATAGTAGGACCATTGCTAGGAGGGCCACAATAGTGCCATAGCGGTATTAGCGGGGTCATTGTAGGGCTCCAGTATACGGCCAGAGTAGTGCTATAGCAGGGCCATAGTAGGGCCATAGTGAACCCATAGTAGGTCCATAGTAGTACCAGAGATGATGGATGTACTGTGGACGAATGGCCGGCCATGTGATGGCTGTGGGTTAAATGGATAGCCCTCTGCCACAGCACAGCAGGGCACAAACTGGCACGAGAAGCGTATAACTCTGTAGCAATACTTGAGACGTGGTCTGTGGTGAGTTATGGGGAGTCAGCTCTCACTGCAGGGATGAACAGGAATTGATCACATTGGTGGGCAAATTGACATCAAGTTTCTTTTGGAGAAGGTAACAGAGAGGGGGGCCCACAAAAAAGAGCATGCTTCCTCACAAGATGACAAAAATGCTGCTGGCAGAAGCACAGTCTTTCAGGCTTTGCATCATATCTGCTTTCTGAACCTTGCTCGTATTCTGGCTTGATGCGAAAGTTTATCCATCATAGTGTTACTGTGCCCGCGCCTTTTCTGGCATCAACTACTACCGTCTTCCCCCGAACACGACGCACCCTCATTTTGGCTGTATCTGGCCGGAAATATAGCTTCTATACATTCATTTTTAGGGTGCGTTATGTTCGGGGGAAGACGGTAGCAAGAATATGCCATAGATCCCTATTTCAGTTTTACTGTATATAACCACCACCCAACACCGTCGCACCCGACAATGTGGCATTCAAGAGGTGATCGAGACTCGAGAAGATCCGGCTTTCTAGAGTAGTTATGCGCGAGAGCTCAGTGCAGAGGAGGGTTACGACTCACGAGGAACCATGGAAGCTGTGCGTATTAAAGCCAGGGAGATAAAACACAATGCTGATCCATTGCCTTTGTCATTTCTCTTTCTTCACTCCTATGAAGGTCAATTAGGAATGTATCTCAGAATTCACCCCCATGGATGCTGTTGGGAATCTTTTTTTAGTTGAGCGTGACTGAAAGCTGATTGGAATCAGAAATCTGGAAGGTAGGTAGTGTTCTTTCTGACTGTGCTGAAGGGTGGGCCTTTCATTGACAATTTCTTTACCAGTTTCTTCGCTAATTCATTGCGTTTGGAATTGGTGTTTACCAGGTCGCACTTCCATGTCAGACCACAACTGGCGTCTGCTTTCTCCAGCTCTATATTGAGAGCATCCTTGCTTTGCAAGATGCGAGCCGTCGAGGATCCGAAGGTGAGTTTGTTTGTGTGCGTTGTTGGCACTGCTGTTCGTTGATGACATTGTTGCTCTTTGTCGGCATAGCATTTCTCGGTAGGGTAGGTGAATCAAGCAACAGATATTAAACTGAGTAAAATCACAAGGGAGAACTGCAGTGGTGTTGTGAACCAAGCTTTTCTCTCTTTGCTCTCTGAGGGCATACGACAGCACAGAGAAGAAGCTCATGCACAGAAGATGAACCCACCTGGAAATGTGCTGAACAGTGAACACAGTCAAATCCGTGCGAGAGCACAGAGAAGAAGCTGATGCACAGAAGCTCACCACCAAAGGAAATGTGTTGAGCGCAGTCAATCCTCCTCCCTCCTCCTCGCCGTCTTTATTGTCTCGCGAGCTTCTCAAGTCCTAATTAATTAGGCAACAAAATTAGTATATATTGTAGGTTCCAACTTCCATGGTTCCACTGCCTCTCATGAAGGACTAACCACTGGACCAGATTCTTCGAACGGTAAAATACCAATGTCCTTATTACCCCCCGCCGCCCCCTCCCCCCTTGCTCCGTACCATCATGGTATGTATGTCACTGCCACAAGCAATCACTGCTTACGCCTTCCCATGACCCTACCGTATGGTGCTTCAACTCTCAGTCTTTGGTGGTGCTGCCCTCACCTCCGGTGGTGCTGCTCTCGGCTTTTGGTGCTTCTGTTCGGTACTGCTGCTCTCGGCTTTCGGTGCTTCTGCTCTCGGCCTTCGGTGCTTCTGCTCTCTCAGCTGTTTTGTGCAGCCTTCATCAGGCTGTCATGCCCAATTCCATCACTGCTGCATCACCTCAGCTTGGCAACTTGGCAAGTGCCATGCAGGAAGAGAGTGCAAAGGTGATGGCGGCCTTCTGCACAATGACCGGTGAGAAATGCAGCTCCCATAGGTCCAGTAGAGCGTTCACAGTGAATTAGCTCCAGCTCGCGTGTGTTTGGTGCAGCTAAAAAGGAGTGGGAAGTCGTTCAAGTAGCATGCTGCTTGCTTGCACAATCAATGAAAGGGAAGGACATGACTCAGTCTGTATTTAGAGAGAAAGCTCGCACCATCATCTAGGATACTTCTCAGTTCCTTCCGGACCCGTGGACGTGACCGGCCGTTCATTTGGTGTTGCTTTTGTGAAAGGCCGTTCACGGTGAACGGGCCGACCACGAAAGAGTGGTGTTCGCTCTTTCTTTTTTTTTGGGGGGGGGGGGGGGGGGKGGGGGGCTCACTCAGCTATAGTCGCCTCAAGCCCCACAGCGTGATGACATTGAAAAAATAAATAAAAATCGAAATACCCTACAAAATAACAAACGAAAATGCTTATTTTGGCTGGTTGCATTTTGTTTTTTCGTGATTTTTTTTTTTTTAATTATGGGGAGTTACCCTCCGATGTCCCCCACCCTCCAGCCAAAAAAAAAAAAAAAAACCGATCCCGCTCTCCGTGAACTCCATGAACTCCCATGTCGTGAACTCCGTGAACTCCATGACCGGTTTCCGTCCACAGACCCCGTGAACGGTGAACGGGGGTACGACACTGGTTCCTTCCTGAAATAGTGTTTTTATCAATTTTGTATAATGTATATTTTTTTTCTTCTTGGGCTATCTAGATTCACGTGGGGCTCCTATTAAGATGCATTTATAGAAAACGATCGATGATATCATCCATTAAGGTTAGAAAAGTTATGATTCAAAACACGCACATCGGATTGTGTATTTGATAATTTGGTTGTTACAGATAAACAAAAAAGATATTTTCAACATATTTACCAAAAGGGTGAGTATAAAAATTCCAACTGCTTACCTTTCTGGGAAAGAGTATCATTGGTGATCCAATCAAGGCATTCCTACGGGGCTGGGCCTGGCGGGCCACAAATACCCATTGGGAAATGAACAGGGCTAGCCTAATTCTTGTTAACCTCCTACTGCTCATCCTGTTCAGGAGCTTATTAACGGACATAGGGAATGGGCTGGTCCCACCGAAGAGCGCTTAATACCGCTTATCAACAGACTTTGGGAATGGACATGGCTGACCTATTCTGTACCACCTGCGCCTGCTGAGCTCATTATTCTGCCCTTTGATGTACCCTTTCGTGAACTCGTTAGTCTCTCCTATCCACTCCTGCTGAATGCACTCGTTGTGAAGATGGAGCCTAAGGCTGCGGGTATTCTAGACAATTCTGTTGTCAGCAGCTAATGCGTGGGAGTGCTAAGTTTAGAACGCATCCTGCACATCCGGCGGGTTATAGACCACGAGTCCTAAATTGACGAACCAAAAAATGCATTTTGCCGAGCCTAAAGTGACCGGCATCGGCCGTTGGAAAAATCAACATGGTACTCGTACCGGCCTCTGCATTATTAAAAAGCCTGGGCCTCCCACAGACATTTGGGGGCCCGAAGTTGTGGTTCATCCGTCGCTCTACCGGTCCTGGGCTGAACGACATAGTGACGGTACTCGTATAGGTCTCTGTCCCACGGTTGTTGTGAACGTAGCCCTTCGACTTCAAGTGTTTAGCTTATTTGAAGTTGTGCTGGATGTCCAAAAATCCGTTTAAACGCTTCCTACGACTTCCTAGTGTTCTGACTATTGGATAGCCTGACAGGCAGTTTCAGTGCATCAAAGCGGCTGATGGGCTGGCTTATCAAGTCATTACGTGACATTATGGTAATCAATTCCTGTTTCTGTGTTTGTTTCTTTCCTCAAGGTTCGAACTTTGTCCGCCGCATTCCTTTGGTTATCATGACTTCTGGTGACACACATTGGAAAACTGAGGCATTGCTGAAATCAAATCGGTACTTTGGCATGGACGAAGATCAAGTTATCCTTCTTAAGCAGGTCAGTTGTGTGCCATCTGTCTTGGATTGATCTCTGGGTAGCCATGAGGTACACAGTATGTGCAATTGCAGTGCCTTTCTTCCCCGTCCCTCCCCCTCTCCCGGCTTGTTCCTTTGCTTCCCCCCCCCGCCCCCCCCTCCGGCTACCCCACCCCAGCCGTGCCCGGATCCCCTTTCTTTTGGGTCCTGTCTGGCTTGTTGTCATCAAGAAAAACGTGCACATGTGATTTGCTAGTTGCTCAATCATGTTGTTTTTGTTTGGCAATGTAATTACTTGACATGGTCAGGAAAAAGTTGCGTGCTTGGAAGATAACGATGCAAGAATGGCACTTGAACCATCCAACATGTTTGCCATCCAGGTACTGGCTGCCGCCCCCTCCCCCCGCTCCCTCGCATCATTTTTCCCACCACATCTCCTTCTCCTCGATTCTCTTTGCTTAATGAATGATGGAGTGCCCATGCCAATCTGTAAGAAGAAAACTAGGTGATCAAATGAGGTGAGGTGGTCACAGACAGGGTAAGGCACCTAAAGGCAGCTAAAGGCAGCTGAAGGGGTAAGGCACCCAAAGGCAGCTAAGCCCCTAAAGGTAACTAAAGGCAGCTAAAGGAAGCTAAAGGCAGCTGAAGGGTTAAGGCACCTGAAGGCAGCTAAGCCCCTAAAGGCAGATGGAGGGGTAAGGCCCCTAAAGGCAGCTAAGCCCCTAAAGGCACCTAACGGCAGCTAAAAGCAGCTGAAGGGTAAAGGCATATGAAGGGGTAAGGCGCCTAACGGCAGCTAAAGGGAGCTAAAGGGGCTAGGCAGCGAAAGGTAGCGGAAGTCAGCTAAAGGAAGCTAAAGGCAGCGAAAGGCAGCGAAATGAAGCTAAAGGCAGCTAAAGGCAGCTGAAGGCAGTGATGGGATTGACAAATGGAGATCAATGGAAGTTTGGAGAGTTAGAGACACCTGCTAAAGGCAAAGGCAGCTAAAGGCAGGTATGGATGAAATCTTTTCACTGATCCCCTACAAAATCTGTTGCTCCTTAAAGATGGAAGAGAGATTGCAGAAATACTTCTGCTGGGAGAACAGGTTCCTCAGCTGACCAGCAGATAAATGATGCCAAGTACTGATGGACTTGGGGTTCTAGCCCGATGCTACACACATAATTAGCTGTTAGGGGATGCAGCATACCAGTTCGCAACCCCTGTTTAATTACAATTGCAATTGCAAAATTTGCAATGCAATAAATGTCGAAAAAGTTGAAGCACTGTTTTCATTTTTCTTTCAAAAGAGAACGATAATGTTGGCAAGTAACAGGCAAAGGTCTACACACAAGAGATTAATGTTGGGAAGAAGCAGGCGAAGGTCTACAGAATGTACACACATAAATTAGGGAATGCATCACATGCGTTCACAACCCTTGTGTTGAAGTCGAATTACGATAAATAAACGGTTAGACCGATAAAGTTGGTTAAACTATTGTTTTTGTTTTCTCCCAACAGGAAAGGAATTGTTGCTAGGCTACTTGGGTTGCCTGGTTGTGTACCCTGTGCAAGTCCCCTGGGGGGGTCACCTGCACGGGGCACCCTGTGCGGGCGAACATCAGCGCTTTCTTTTTTTTCCCTTTGTTTTGTGGAGCACCTCTGCGCCCACCTGGCTCTGTCGGCATCCGGGATGATTTTCGTATATATAATGCTTTCAGGTTTCACCCAAACCAGGCTCATGAAGACTCAGAACAGACTGAAAACAGACCCCAAAACAGATGCAAAACAGACTCAAACGCACTCAAAACAGGTTGAAACTTGAAAACAGAATTAGACAGACTCAAAACCAACTCACACAGACCCAGAACAGGCTCAAACAGAGTCAAACAGTGCCGTAACAGACTCAAACAGACTCAAAACTGGCTCAGGAGTCAGAACAGAATCTCGAGCAGACTGAAAACAAACACGAACAGACTCAGGAGTCAAATCAGAATTATTCGCAATGTAATGTTTTAAAAATCACATGAGCGTCCCCCCACCGGCAAGCACCTGCCACCATACCACCTCAGCCCCCTATCACCCTGCCCCTCCCCTCCCTTCCTCTCCTCTCACACATCCCCGCTACATTACCCAACACACCACAGCCAACTGAAAATCACCCAACTCAACTACCCCCTAGATCTCAACTCTGCCCTTTCCAAGAACACCCTAACTGAAATCCAAACAACCCCCTTTCAAGTGACACCCAGATTTCAAACCTACCCCATCAACCACACCAAACCACGATATACGCAGCCGAGGGTTTAGGGTCTAGACTGAAACAAGACAAGTAGAACTTAAAAGAGGTAGAGATCTCAGGAAGACCACATAGGCTCCAGTCACCTCTAGTCTATTACATCAACCCAACAACAGCACAACAGAGAGCAGCAGGATTGTGGTCAGACAGTCAGACAGCAGCCAGAAAAATAAGTAGCACAGGCTAAATTAGGCAGGGGCGAGGGGTGGTACATCCTTCCTCAGGGAAGTAATCAATCTCGTCCACTCCGGCCTCCCTGCCATGATGGGGAGGAGCGTGCATGAATCGCTTATGTATTCCAAATTGACTTGCCACCGAAGTTGCCGGGGGAATAGGAACCGGACTGTTGCTCCCCCGAATGGTAGGAGCCAGAGCCGAGAGGCTGTCTCTTATACACATCTAGATGTGTATAAGAGACAGGTCTATGGCTGAGCTAGACAGGTTTCCATAAGATT